GGATTGTTTTAGGGCTGGGTGCAATGGTTTAGAGCTGAGCAGGATTGGTTTTTGGGGGGCAAGATTGTCTTAGGGGGTGGGCAGGATGGTTTAGAGATGGGCAGGATGGTTTAGAAGTGCGCAGGATGGTTTTAGGGCTGAACAGGATGGTTCTGGGAATGAGCAGGGTGGTTTAGAAGTGGGCAGGACAGTTTAGAGGTGGGCAGGGTGCTTTCAGGGCTGGGTACGATGGTTTAGAGCTGAGCAGAATTGTTTGGGTGGGGGGCAGGACTGTTTTAAGGGGTGAGCAGGATGGTTTAGAGGTGGGCAGGGGGGTTTTGGGGAGTGAACGGCCTCTCCCAAGGAAAGGGAGGAGAGGAAAGTGAGGATGCTCTCGAGGGAACCCCTGCTTCTGGGCACGGGGAATTATCGTTGTTTCTCCACAAACTCAGGCGTGTGCGTGATCCGAAGAGGCTGCAGTGTTGGGGAGCTGGAGGAGAGGGGAGGGCTCCTTCCTTGGAGGCAGGTGGCTGGTGGGAGCCACGCGAGACCCCGCAGGGCCCAAACCCAGCCTCCTGTGGTTTTTTTTTTGGATTTTTTAAAATATATGCTAGGCCTTTAATGGGATGCTGCTGGAGCTTGTTTTTCTTCCCAATCCTGCTGGTGACAAAGTGATGCTGCTTGGTGGCTGGCGATTCGAGGGCTCTGCCCTCCTTGCTTCTCCTGACATAAACCACAAGAAGCTCCAGGGAGGAGAAAACCTCCTGCCCAGGGATATTGGCAAAGGGAATGAGGATCTAAGAAGCAAATAAAAGAAAGCCTGCACGTGTTGTGTGCTGAGAAGGTGCCACCTTTCAGGGGGTGGTTTCGGTCCGCCATACACCTCAGCACCGTGTTATTCTTTAGGTCTACTCCATCTTTCCTAACTGCTGGCTCGCGTTGGCATTTACTGCTTTTTGCTGGTAAATAAAATCCTGTGTTTGGGGATGGCGAGAGGAATGGTCAGTCCAACTGAAGTGCTTGATAAGGTGTTTGTTTTTTTTAAAAAAAAAAAGGCAAATCATATTTTTTCTCCCACTCTGCAGTTGTGAGTGCCTGCCTTGAATTGGGAGGTCTTACGGGGATGTATTCAAAGGGGAGCAGCGGTGTTTGTGAGCTTTGTTTTGCTGATGTTTCTCAGTGTTGAGCTGTACGCAGACAGTTCTGTACTGCTCCTGCAAACTCTGCATTCTCACCGTACCAAAGCCCGGGTATTTATAGAGGGGATGCGTTTATCTCGCTGAAGGTTGCGAGAAAACGCCCGGGGCATTGCTTCCTTGAAAGTAAAACACCCTTGAAAGGAGATGATGTTATCAGTTAGTGCTGGGAAGCTAAGCCCAGCTCGTCCTGTGTAAGCGTAGATGCTCAGCGAAGGTGTTGAAACTAGAAACTTGGTTGTCAAAGCTCCGTTGGCTTTTTGGGAAGTAGTTTTTAGGTGAGCAGAGTGGCTTTCCAGAGGCGTCCTGATCCCTGGATTTTAGATGGAGCCAAGAGGAACAGTGTTTCTTAATTCTAAGTCGTCAAGAGCTTGGTGGGATGAGTCTGGACCTAACAAATGCTGCTGGTGTTTTTACTGGGGTAAAATTTTAAGTGAGTACAGCAAAGCATTTCAGAAACTGTAAGGGAGTCCACTGTGATGAAGAGTCTCTGCAAGGGAATCTGCAGATATTTGATTGAAAATCATGTGCTGAGTGGGGACACGCTGCAGAATAAACTCGTCATCCCCAGCTCTCTCTTCTAGCTGCCCACTTCTGCTCCTTCTCTGCTTTTCTCCAGCACTGAGACTCATTTGCTCCTCGCATGTGGATTTATTTATGTACTTAATTATTTATTCTTTCCTCTCTAGGCTTCTGGGCCGATCGAACGCCGGTTCATGAAGCAGCCAGGCGGGGAGAAATCCTGCAGCTGCAGCAGCTGATAGAGAGCGGCGCATGCGTCAACGCGGTCACCTACGACTCTATCACCCCGTTGCACGAGGCGAGCCTGCGAGGACAAACGCAGTGTGTCAAGCTCCTGCTGGCTGCGGGGGCCCAGGTGTGTGTTTGGGTCTGATCTAGCTGGGGACTTCGGCTTGATATCTGAAATAATTTCTGGGATCTGGATTCTCCCTGTCTAGCTCTTCTTGAGAGTCCCCTGGGCTTTCTTGAGAGTCAGCAGAGGATGGCAGGCCTCAGCAGAGAGTGTTTGAGCTTGAAGAGGACTAAACAACTGCCTGGGGTTATTTCTGTCTCTCGCGCTCTCTCTTGACTATCGACAGAGCCCAGGGTGACTAGAAATCTAGTTTAGATGACTCATGTACCTAAAGCTAACTGGGATGAATCAAAGGCCCAGAAGGGTGACAGGAGACATGTAGCTTCCAGAGAGACTATTTATTCTTTCATTTTTTCTATTACTTTAATTTTTATAATGGAAACAAAGATCAGCCAAACAGGATATAGCTGGCAACGACTGTTTTCAAGGGCTCGTGGCTTCTCACACGCTGCAGATGTCCATGATCCGAGCAAAGCCGATGGAAATAACAGCCTAAACTTGTGACTCTGATGTGCATCTAGGCCCTTGAAACATGTTTTTTTCTGCCCTGAAGGTGGATGCCAGGAATATCGATGGCAGCACCCCCCTCTGCGACGCCTGTGCCTCAGGTAGCATCGAGTGTGTGAAAGTGCTGCTGTCCCACGGCGCGAAGGTGAACCCTCCCCTCTACACAGCGTCTCCTCTCCACGAAGCTTGCATGAATGGTAAGCCTTCTGTTCCAAGTTGAGATGGAATAAGTCGCTCTGATGAAGACACGAGACCATTTTAACCAGTTAGTTCTGTCCTAGAACCCTCCTGGTTGTTGGGAGCTGCTAGAGGAGGCTGTCGGGTGGGAAGAAAGTGCCAGGGACTGGTGGGCAGTGCTGCTGCCTGCTCTGCTCCTTGTCCCTCTCGTGGCCTTCTCCAGCTTGAGGGTCTGTCCAGGGAATAAGAGAAAACTCCAGGGGCCAAAATAATGTCCCGTCTGGTGCGTAACAACCTCTCTCGTCTCCCTCCATCCTCTTCTGGATGTTTGGGTCTGGGTTAGGGAGCAGGGCTGGCTGTGACAGGTTGGAGGAGGCAGAGGGGTATTTAAGTGTAATTCCTCACCTGAATGTCCACTCACACAGAGGCAACAGCAGGAAAGCCTGGATGTGAGAGCAGCAGCGTCCCCGTTAGGTGTTAGTGTCCAAATCTTAATTGTTTTGTGCCTCACTTTCCTCATTGTAAGACGTAATACCTCCTCTCCTCCCTTTCACTGTCAGGAGAGGTTCTCTTCCCCCTCTGCTCTGCCCTGATGAGGCGACATCTGGAATATTTTGTCCAGTTCTGGGCCCTTCAGCTCAAGAGGAACTGCTGGAGAGAGTCCAGCGCAGCCCCAGGGATGATGGAGGGATGGAACATCTCCCTGGGGAGGAAAGGCTGAAGGAGCTGGGGCTCTGCAGCTGGAGAAGAGGAGCCTGAGAGGTGACCTCATTCATGGTTATAAATACGTCAAGGGGGAGTGTCAGGAGGACGGAGCCAGGCTCTGCTCAGGGATGTCCAGGGACAGGACAAGGGGCAATGGGTACAAGCTGGAGCACAGGAAGTTCCACAAAAACGTGAGTTGAAACTTCTTCCCTGTGTGGGTGCCGGAGCCCTGGCCCAGGCTGCCCAGAGAGGGTGTGGAGTCTCCTGCTCTGGAGACTTTCAAACCCACCTGGACACGTTCCTGTGGGGCTGCCCTGGGTGACCCTGCTCTGGCACAGGGGGTTGGACTGGGTGATCTCTAGAGGTCCCTTCCAACCCCCAACATTCTGTGATTCTGTTTTTGTTACATGCTGTCCTGGACAGAGTTTCCCTTTGACTGTGAAGGCGGTGGGAGACAGCATTTTTGACAAACAAGTAGTTAGTTAAATACGTAGCTGTGAGCTCCTGCTTAGCTTTTCCTCAGTAAGCCTGTTTCCTAAGCCTTGGTGGTGCCTGCTCTCCGTTAATTCATGTTATTAGCATTAGAGAAAGTAAAGCTGGAGTCGTCTTGAAGGTGATCTAATCCACCCAGGTGTCATGGATGAGTGCTTTAAACCACTTACATCACTTGTCACGGGATCCCGATTTAGGATCCTGTTGACTACACCAATTTGCTGCAGAGGAAAGATTTAGGTTGCTTAAAGAACTGCCATCAAAGATATTGGCAAAAGTGATTTTCAATAGGAATTTGTGAAAGTGTGACTTAGAGGTCAGTGGCAAGGTTCAGTCTGTTACTGACTACATGGAAGAAGCATACAAGGAAAATTGAATTTGAGTCAGGCCAGACTGATTTACGCAGAGGCTGGGGAAGAAAAGGGTAAGAGAAACCTTCCCATTGGGTCACGAGGTTCAGAAAGGACCCCCCTTGCTTTCTAAACTGTGTCAGGAGTCTCTTTCAACAGTTTATATCTAAGGGTAGAGGTGCAGGGAATGAGGGGATCCTACACAACAGCCATTTAGGATTTGTTAATGTTGCGATAAGGCACAGGATTAAATCGTGTGATGTTTAACAACACTTAACTATTAGGCAGTTACTGGGGTGATTTTAAAAAAAAATAATTACTGCAATCAGCAGAGCAGCTTGGTGAAAGATTTGAGACTGGCAAGATTCACATGAGATTTGTGACAGAGTTTCCTAATCGAGTCATACACACAGACAAAGAGATACAGAGATTAAATCGTACAGAAAACTGCACATACACACACAAATATAGGTGTTAACCTATGGCCAAGACTTTTCTCCTACTGTGCTTGCAGTCAATTATAGTGAATTACTCACTTTTCCCCTATTTATAGGATCACAAAGTGATTTTTGGCCAGTACCTTTTTCATCGTGGCCGTTATTCTTGTCAGGAAATCTTGGCACCCTTCAGAGCGGGCTACGGTCCAGGCATGAGGAGCTCTGGGTACGTTTCCCAGGCAGTGGGAGTTTGAGGTGCGGTTCAGGAGTGTCCAATCGTCCCAACTCTCTCTGCTTGTACCCGGAACAAGAAGGTACCGGATTATCTCAGCTCACTCCTCCAAGCAGGCAAGATCAGAAAGTTCCAGATGGTCCCAGCTCGTTGCGCTTGTAATTAAAACAAGAACACGATGTTGACTTGTCCTGACGTTTGCTGCTCTCACCCCAAATACGAAGCAGGCTGTTTGTGGGTCAGGCTGATCTCAGCGTTCCACGTGCTCCCGTTTGAGCTGGGTTATGTTTTTTTTGTCTGGGATCTTCCCTTTCTAAAGGTAGCTCAGAGTGCGTGCAGCTCCTCATCGACGTCGGCGCGAACTTGGAGGCTCACGACTGTCATTTCGGGACTCCCCTACACGTGGCCTGTGCCAGGGAGCACCTGGACTGCGTGAAATTGCTGCTCAAGGCAGGTATGGCAGCCGTGGGGTTTTGCCTCTGGGTGGGCACGAGATGGTGGTGTCTGCGCGCAGCGTTACCCTCAGCATCGTTGTCAAAGAGGTTATTCTTTCCCAGCGTAACCCAGATGACAAAGATTAATAATTTTGCCTTTCCCTAAGCAAAACTTAATCTTTAACTGCTTTTTCAGTGTGTCAATAGCCAGTTTATACTTTGATTTTGTTAGAGTTACATTCCCATTCTCTTATTTTAATAAAACTCAGAACTCTTCAGCCCCTTAGAGAGTAAAGTTTCAACTTTCTCCCAACAGTCGTGTCAACCGGTGAGCACGCGTTCGGCTCTGGTAGCATGGTCAGCTGGTTTTGGGTGGTTGTTAGGATGTGATGTTGTACAGAAAACCAGAGACAAAGTCACTTCATACCCCACAGAGATCTGGTTAATGTTATACCCAGAGTTTGCTGGATATTCGAGTCAATGTTAGAGCTTGGAGTGCCAGTGAGCAGTGAGTGTCCCTGGGACAGCACCGTGCCCTTGTGGCCAAGAGGCCAGTGGGATCCTGGGGGGTATTAAGAAAAGTGTGTCCAGCAGGGCTGGGGAGGTTCTCCTGCCCCTCTGCTCTGCCCTGGGGAGACCCCCCTGGAATCCTGTGTCCAGTTTGGGGCTCCCCAGTTCCAGAGAGACAGGGACCTACTGGAGAGAGCC